GTGTGTGTGTGTGTGTGTGTGTGTGTGCGTGCACGTGGAGGCCAAAGGACAACCTCTGGTGTCAGTCTTCAAGTTCTGCTTTGTGTGACACTGGGTCTCTGAGTCACTTTTTTCTGCTCTGTAGGCCAGGCTAGCTGGCCCATGATCTCCTGGGGCTCTCCTGTCTCTACTCCCATGTCCTGGGGGGAGTAATAGGATTACAGACACCTGTGCTATACACCTGTGGCATCTGAATGTTTGTTTCTAAACATGGTCCTGAAGGTTCCCAACTCAGGTCTTTATCATTATAGCCATTTCCCCAGCTCCTGAACTGAGATTTTTAAAGAAGCCAGCATGGGAGCTGGAGAGAAGGCTCAGCAGTTATGAGCACTGCCTGCTCTTCCAGAGGACCCAGGTTTGACTCGGCTCAAAACCATCTGTTAACTCCAGTTTCAGGGGATCTGACACCCTCACACAGACATACATGCAGGTAAACACAAACACACATGAAATATAAATAAAAAAAAACTTAGATGTTGGTGGTGGAGGAGGAGGAGGAGGAGAAGCAGCAGCAGCCACTGCCACCACCAGCACTTGTAGCACTTGGGCAACTGAGGCAGCCTCAGCAACATACTGAGTTCTAGGCTAGCCTGGGCTATGAAGTGAGACCCTGTCTCAAAGAAAAAGGGCTTTTTGTTATTAGAGGGAACTACCTGCAATGCAAATTCTAATTGGTCTTTTAATAAAAATAAAAAAAAAACTGGAGCTAGAAATTGCGGTAAATAATAAAAGATCAGATACAAAAGAACAAGCCACCTCTTACCTCTGGGATTCCTTAACTGAAAAACTTTAGTTCCTGTCTCCTCACACCTTATATACCCTTCTCTGCCAACCCCTATCATTTCCTGTCTTAACTTTCCTAGTGCTAGGATTAAAGGTGTGTGACTCCCAAGTACTGGGATTAAAGGCCTGTGATTCCCAAGTACTGGGATTAAAGGCCTGTGATTCCCAAGTACTGGGATTAAAGGTGTGTGCCACCACTGCCTGGCTCTGTTTCTCCTCTAGACTGAGTCAATCTCATGTAGTTCAGGGTGGTTTTGAACTACCCTGATCCAGACAGATCTCTGACTCCTGAGTGCTAGGATTAAAGGTGTGTGCCACCACTGCCTGACCTCTATGTTTAATCTAGTGGCTTGTTCTGTTCTCTGATCTTCAGGCAAATTTATTAAGGTACACAATATATCACCACAACTGCCCTTTTCCTAGTCTTTTGGTTTCCATGGGATACTTCTAAACTTACTTGTGGCCTTGAGACCTTTCTTACTTCATGTACCCTCTAGGAAACATTTGTCTCAACAGACTGATAAAATTGGAAAGAATTTTTCTGGTTCAACAGAAGTCTCCTCCAAGAGGACATTTTGCAACCATAGTGCTGTGAAGATGGTCACTGTAAGCAGGTCGAAAATTCTCTATCCAAGTCTAAAGTACCTTTGACCTAGTTAGAACACCTTTACTCATAATTATCTTACCTAGACTTTGCCCCACTTTCCTTCCTATCAATCACTGATTTTGAATAAGTAGAAAATGTGTTTACATTGACCACAAATCCTTTGGTTTCATCCATCCACAGGCTGGAGTTAGATTCTCTCTCATGACTCTGTATCTTACCAGAAGCATCAGATCCCTGCTGACCTGACAGACCTCACGCCCCAAGTCCTCTACACAAGTTAGTGAGCGGAGCTGACACCTTTGTGTCACATGGATGTTTACCTCTGTACAGACATTACAGGGACGGCCACATGCTCCTGAGAGGAGAAGAGGTGTGCCTTGTGCTTCTAAATTATAAAAAGTTCCTGCTCTGATCAGACTAGAAGATGACAGAAAGAAGACAAACATTTTCTAAAGACTCCCCGTGTGCATACCAGCACTGTACACAACCCAACTGAATGCTGACATAAGAGAGGGAGCTGTGACGGGGCAATTCTGTTAGCTGCTAGGACCACTCTGGGAATGGCAGTCCCAACATCAGAGTCTAGGTGGAACCCTAGTCCCACCTCTGTCCCACCATATTACAAAGCCTTCCTCAAGCCCTGCCACCTGCCAGATCCCAGCCACACCCCCAATAGTTTAAGCTCCTTTTTGCTTTCTGTCAAGCTTCCAGATTTACATTTTACTTCAGCGGTCTTGAAACTGCCATCCTTTCTGTAATTGTCCGCAAGGCCTGCTGGGACTCAGGGATGCTTATCTTATCTGCCCTGGTTTGGTCAGCAGAACAACGCAGAAGTAACACTGTGGGAGCTCTCAGCTTGGGCCTCAGAGGCACTGACAGCTGCTTTTACATTCAGTAAACTCTCTTCTACCAAAAGCACAGCCCGGGTGAACCTGAGGGTAGATGAGGCATCATGGCAGCGGAGCTGAGTGGTCCCAGGGCCCCCAAGCATACAACCATCTTGACAGATAACCACATATGCACAAACAATTCTAGTTAAGACCGAATTTAGCAACCTTAACCCAAACTGCCAGCCCCTGCACTGAGCAGAATGGCTGTTTTAAACGGCTAACCTTTGGGAGGGTTTGTTAAACAGCAGAAGTGAACCGATACAGCCTCTCTGACTTGGGTCAGAGACTTGAAATTTTTTTCTCTCAAGGCTCTATTTGTAAAACTCAGATTTCTTTGTGTTCGTGTGTGTGTGTGTGTGTGTGTGTGTGTGTGTGTGTGTGTGTGTGTTGCATGTATTTGTTAGTGAGGGTAGGTACGTGTGGGTGCATGTATGTGAAAGAAAGGTCGATGCAGGGGTCTTTCCTCAATCACTATCTGCTTTAGCTTCTCAGAAAAGGGTCTCTAAGTGGACCTGATGCTCATCAATCTGGGTAGACTGGATGGCCTATGAGTTTCAGGACTTGACTTCCTCCATTATTTCCAGCGTTGGGGAGACAGGCACATACCACACTGTCCAGTATTTTTTTAAATACTTATTTATTTTTATTTTATGTGTGTGTTTGTTTGCATATACGTATGTACGTCATATTGCATGCCTGGTCCCCATGGAGGTCAGAAGAGTCTGGAACTACACAGTAGAGAGCTGGCATGTGGGTGCTAGGGAGTAAGTCCAGTCCTCTGCAAGGGCAGTCAGTGCTCTAACTGCTGAGCTACCTCTCCAGTCACTGGGCTCAACTTTGATGTAGATTCTGAGGATCGGAGCTCAGGGTCTCATGTTTGCTGGGCAGGCACTGTATGACTGAGCCATTTCCTCAGCCAGACCAGACTCTTGGCAGCTGGAAATAAATGGGACTAAGTCCCAAGGGCACAAAGAGTTTACTGACAATAGCCTGTTCTTTCCTCCTCCTTCCTTGCCAAGGCCAGTCCGACCCAGCCCAGGACATGTCACACTCAGGCTGAAACACACTAAGTCTAGTGTGCATGGAACCCTGGGCTAGGACTCCTGAACCTAGAGTAGTGACAAACTCCTCTGAGGTTGAGGAGGAGGACCAGAAGTTCAAGGCCATCCTTGATTAGCTCTGTAAGCTGCTGACAAAAAACCGGCCCAGCCTTCTCTTCACAAGGTCCCCAAGAAAGTACAGGTTTTCATATTCTTTGTGTCTCCTCATAATTTCAGGTACAAGCCTTCCCTAAATTTTGGCTACATAGTGACTTTGAGGTTAGCCTGGGATACATGAGATCCTGTCTCAAAACTGGAATGGGGGGGGGTGACTTTATAGATCCCATCATTTTCGCATGACCAAGTTTTAGATGTAAATTAGAAACAAACTTCAATCTAAGTGGATGTTGTTTAAAATGGAATAATCATGGGTTCCTGCTACTTCTTAGTAAACCCCAAGTCTACAATAAATACTTTGAGCTTCTGAGAGAATGTTATTTTATGGCCATAAGAGGCTTTGTCTGTAAAAGACCAGAGTTAACTTGTTAAAACAGAATTTTCTACTATGACATTTCCCTCCTTACACGAAGTGTCATACAAATGAGTATTCCCAGTTGAGAAAAAAGAGTTGACTCTAAACACAAGTCGCAGAGTGCACCACTGCAGTATTACCATCAGCTGAAAGACAACACACAAAACCAGCACCTTTCATAACAGCCTGCTTTAAGACTCCAGAGCTGAATCTGAAATGTAAAGCTGCCAAGTCACTTGGAAAAATTAAATTGTACCTGGTGGCCAAGTTGAATAATCGTCGTTTAAAAATGCTATGGTATCAGTTGGCCACTAGCCATGTGCACCTGCAAATTCAGGTGGACAAAAAAAGAACTGATTGCCTGTGGAAAACTAAGGATGACCTACAAGCTAATGCTGAACATTTTTCACACTTGGATCTAAGTCAGGCAAATAAGATTAAAAAATCTAAGGCCCAAATTCAAAGTGTGACAGGAGAGCCCCTCGGTACACTCTCAGGAGCGTGGAACTGCTATGCCGAATAGCATTCTCTCTTGCAGGGTCCACTGCTTCTCAGGCGTGGGTGTATGTGGGGGAGAGAACTCGATCAATTCTCAGGTGGTTCTAATATCATTTGCTCATTTACCTAAGCTTGTTGTACAAGCTGATCACTTAGGAAATGGAGACAAAGAGGAATCAGGATTAAGTAATAATTTAGGAGATTGCTTAATTTATGCATGAGGGAGTGTGAGTGTGTATTTGAAACATACACCTAAGGAAAAAAAAATCTTTGTATGTTTTTTGAGGCAGGGTTTCTCTGTAGCCCTGACTGTCCTGGAACTTGCTCTGTAGAAGAGGTTGGCCTCCTCAGAGACCCACCTGCCTCTACCTCCCAAGTTCTGGATTAAAGGCATTCAACACCACCTTGGGGTGTTGGGGTTTCTCTCTATGTACCCTAATGGCCAGGAACTTTCTACAAAGATTAAGCTGGCCTTGGACTCACAGAGATCTACCTGCCTCTGTTTCTCTAGTGCTGGGATTAAAGGTGTATGTCACAAGCTCACTCAGCCTGAAATATTTGTATGTCAGTAAGAATTAAGTGAAAAGTGGGAAATAATCTTTCACAGATACCTGTATCCTAGTTCTTCGCTGAGACGGATCATATGAAGGATGTAGGATTCCTTGCTTGTTCCAGTGAGGCCAGGCAACAGCAAGATAGTAGGTCTGGTGCTGGCATCCTCATAGCTCGAACTGTTATTGTTATCAGACCAGTCCAGTGAGATCTGCCCTCCATCTGCCGTTTTAATGAGTTCACTGAAAGCAACCGTTCCAAAGGCATTACTGAGTAGTGCTTTAAGTTGCATTGGTGTTTTCATTCTATAGATGTGACATTACCTGGTCATCCCACATTCACATATAGATATCTGTAAGTCACTTTCATTACAAAAATATGAAGATTAATACCATATTTCCAATGAAAGGTAATAGGTAAAAAATGAACTTCAGAAGGGGATAAATCAGGGTAATTGGGGTGTGTATGTGTGAATGTGGTCAAAACACATTATATACATGCACAAAATTATCAAAGAATCAATAAATTATTTTTACAATGAACTTAAAAAAGAATAAACTTCAAAGAACTTGAAATATTTGGGTGTAAGTATGGTAGAGCCCCTGCCTAGCACAAGGCCTTGGATTTATCCTTGGTATCACACACAGAGCTCTTCATATATTTAATCATTTCCTTATTACTCTCAAACACTTAGCATTTAACCCCTGTTGACTGAGGTCATACAGATACCGACAGGGAATTCTGGGTAAATCCGGTGCTGACTTGTTCTATGCTACAACTCGGACTCAATGAAGCAGCCCTTCACTGAGTACCTGCAAAATGTGCTTCTTGAATGACTTGTCCCATAGCATCTATGGGCCCCAGAAAGACCAGATGACTCAGGGAAATTAGTAATAGACACCATTTACATCTCCTGGTTAGAGATGTCCCCACCCACATCAGCAACACCTCAAAACATTGTCCTCAAAAACCCATGTGCTTGTTACTATGAGCCCTTGTCTGGGGAGACACATAAAATCTGAACTCCTCTGCCAGGATCCTCACCACCCGACAATAGTGCATCTCATCAAGGTGTCTAAGTCCTCAAGGACAAACTGGAAATGACAAATTGGAAAACAGTACCCCCACACACACCAAAAAAACACAAAGTTCTTCTCACATTCCAGAAATAAGCTAGGGCTTCCATTCTGCTTGTTTACATTAGGATGAAAAAAGGAAAAAAAAAAAAAAGGAAGAAAAAAAAAAGAAGAAAAAAAAAAGGTTGGAAGGAGCAACACCTGGATAGTTTCCTGCAGCTGGAGGAGGGTGGGCAGGCAGGGCATCCCTCCTATTTTCTTCTCTTTACGTTCTGTTATTTTGCTAGCCACAGATGTACTAACTTTAGAACTGGATGTGGGAATTAAAACCTGTGATTTGGAAGATATGTCTCAAATAGACATTCACTTACTTCCTGTACTGCACCAGGGGCTTGGCAGTGATGAAGGGTCTCAGCAGTGTCTGTCCTCGGCTCTCCCAGCACCATACCGTCGGGTAATAGGTTTCTGTCACCACGGGACAGTGGTCCTGGAGGAAGCGGCTGAAACTCTCCCCTCCAGTCACTAACTGGGGTTTCTGCCGGGAGAAGCAGCATCGGTGAGGGGTCCAGAACAAAGTTTACGGCGGCCGTAAACCAGCAACTAGCGGATTTATCGTGTCCCCACCCGCAGGCCGCGCGCGAGCCCTCCGATTCCATCTCCCCGGAGACTGACGCACAGAAGCCACAATCACAACAGTCCCAAGATGCGCTCAGTGGCATCCCGGAGGACAGGCGAACTGAGCGCCGGGTGTCCTCCCCGAAGTACCGCAGCTGGGCTGGCCGGTCCGGGGCACGGGCCGCCGGGAGGACCTGGTGGCAGGACCCTGAGCCGCGGCAGGCGGCTGGTGTCG